TGCTAATGTACATGATGAATATCTGTGTCTGCAGGTGATTTGTTAGAATGAAAGCACAATAAAAAACACATGAATGGTGTGAAAAGTGTTTCAGTTTCTAGTTCATTTATAACACTGAAAAAAGGTCGTTGTGACTTTTTACCTAACAATTATTTATATTTTTTCTGGCTGTTTCTGTTCTATAATTCAGACTTTTCAGAATTTTCTAATTCAGAATTTTCAGTATATACAGTCAAGCCCAAAATTAATCATAGTCCTGGCAAACTCTGAGTTTCATTAAAACTACTTTTATTCCACCATGAAATGTTGTTAAATTTATTAATTTAATTAAGCTAATTTGTATGAATTTGTATCATCTTATTCATACAATTTTAGTAGGATTTGATTATTCCCCAATGATGGTTGGGTTTAGGGGTGGGGTTGGGTGCCACGCCTACTTTTTAAAATCATATATTTTTACATGACCTAACTTGTACGAATTAATCACTAAACTGACAAAATGTGAAATATTTAAGTTTTCTTGTGAAATCTGGCTGTTATATCTCACAATTGGATGTTATAAACTTGCAATAACAAGTTAAAATCTCACAATTAGGACTTATTTTTTTCTCAGAATGTATATCCAATTTATATATATATATATATATATATATATATATATATATATATATATATATATATATATATATATATATATATATATATATTATGAGATGTAAAAATATGGATAGAATGGCAAAATACGGTAGAATCCTGCCAAAAAAAAAAAAAAAAAAAACAGGAAGGTTGACATGTATGAAGTGAACAGGAAATGTTTGTGATAAAACAGTTTTGAGAGTGAACACAAAACGTTTTTGCAAGATAGCATAAAACATATGTGCGAGGGAACACAAAAACTTAAAAAAAACATCTATTTTTTAAATTTTTTTCCCTCTCACCCAGTTTTTTTTTTTTTTTTTTTTCACCCATTTTTCCCCCACCATCCTATCCCTTCCGGGTCTCCATATATAAATGAGAGTATGAAATGTACAGCTAAATACTTACTTACTTACTTGCTCACCCCTGAACCTTGAGGACCAGGACATACAAACATACACTATGGACATTTTAATACGCAATTCAACTATAGCACATGGGTTTGGACTGTGGGGAAAACCAGAGCACCCGGAGGAAACTCACATGAACACGGGGAGAACATGCAAACTCCACACAGAAATGCCAAATGGCTCAGGCAGGACTCAAACCAGTGGCCTTTTTGCTGTGAGGCGACAGCGCTACCCATTGCACCACCATGCCGCCATTTAAAACTAAATATGTATTATTATTTATATTCCATAATGTACAGTATATGCCATAATTTCCTAAGTGTTCCTTGAAGATATTTACAGCAAACATTTTTTTTTACACTTTTACAATATCCAATCCATAGGCATATATTGTCAAGGAAGGCTAAACTTGCTAGCCACTGTCAGCACAAAAACGCATTTATTTCAGTAAACAAATTTACCTCAAGTCTAATCAGACTGTATAAGTTATTGTCAGTGCTGCTGAGCACAAACACATCTCTCTATGTTCATCAAGCTTATGGGCTGAGCCTTGTTCACCAACAGCAAGTCATTGCTATTCAACTGGTGCATTTTACACTGGGCTATTAGCAAATGGTGTGCCACTGGCTCTCTAAATGGCGCAGAAGCGAATTATAACCAGTTATATATCTAGCGCAGTGTGGAGAAGCATGCTCTTTGCATTTTAAAAAGTCAATTTAGGTCATTTGGGCAAGTTTGCGACATTGCCTGATTTACATAATTTCTATAGTGAATTGAGCATTAAAACAATGCAGACAGCACGGGCAAATAAACACTGCAAGCAGGGAGCGCAATTCATTCTTAACAGATCCCCACATTGGGTTTTTTATTATCATTTAAGACAGTCCGCGAGCTAAAACATTTGAATTAATTTGCAGGCATTGAAGATAAAACACTGTGTGCTCAGGTTTACACGTAACTGCAATTACTGCTTCAGCGTCAAGGTCCTCCTTTGTTCAGAAGGACTGGCTTGATTCATTGGTCTGAGTGAGATTAGCTTTGGGTTCAAGCCTCTGTGTGAAATCAAGGACAAGCAGGTGTGTCAAGCATTTCCATGCATTCCAGGCCACTCATTCTCCTTACACTTATCATTGTAATTACCTTGGAAATGTCACATGTGTTATAAATTGCAAATTAAGTAACACTTTTAAGACATTAATTTATTTCTGCTTTACACCATTCAGAAAAAAAAAAAAAAAAAAAAAATTATTCATCCATGCTTATAAAATCATATCAGGTCCTCTTAAATATGTGTGTTGACTAAACTTAATTAAAGAGAAGTCAAGTGAAGGTATATTGTTGTTTCTCTTTCACAGAGCAATAAAAGGAACAACATGTTGGTTTTTCACTGACTTCAATGAAGAGGCTGAGCAGGAGTCGTGTTGCAATAAACACAACAGTAAAGCAGCAATATAATATTGATACAGTAACCAAAGTTTATATACAGAGTGGTCAATATAGACTACCTCTGTAAACACTGTATACATAAAACATCAAAAACACACAGTATAGGGATTTATTATTGTACTGTTGAAGAGATTACATTGATTTTATGAAAAAAGTTCATCTACACCAGCAAGATATAGACTTATAAGGTTTAAAAGGTTTGTGTCATAGTTCCTGTCAGGGTTTCTTTCTTGTTCTTTCATAGCATTGTATGTCCATGCCATTGTCACATACAGCTTGCTTTTTCAGTATTTATTTTTCTAACAATGGTTACACTTTATTTTGATGTTGTTGAGGTTAGGATTAGGATTAGTGTTGACATGTTGACAAGTTGACATGTACTTGCAAAGTTTCTTATAGTCAGTTAAATGTCTGTTGAAGGAGCAGTATCAACAGATATTAAGTAGACAGTCTACTAATACTTAAATGGACCATTAAAATAAGTGTTACCTTAACTATGCACTGTAAACTTTCTGATTCTTATCCCATTTCCTATTGTAATAGAAGATAAAGCAGTGTTAGGAGTAATGCATTACATACCATGAATTGCAAACTTGTTTTATTTATTTATTTATTTATGTATTTATGTATTTATTTATTTATTTATTTATTTATTTATTTATTTATTTATTTATTTATTTAATTATTTAGTTAGTTAGTTAGTTAGTTAGTTAGTTAGTTAGTTAGTTAGTTAGTTAGTTAGTTAGTTAGTTAGTTAGTTAGTACAGTTGTTTTGAGTCTTCTTCATTTATTGGGTTTACTGTGCTCAAATTGCTTCATTTACTCAAATGGATTAAGTTTACAGTACTCATTAGAATTAGTTTTTGAACTTAAATGGTTTGTTGCAATCGGTTTCCTCAAATGGTTTTGGTTACCTTAACTTTTTGGGTTTTACAATGTATATATAACTTTAAACTATAATATATATAGATTTTAAAAAATAATAACTTTCCCCAACACTGGTCTATTGTTTACAAAATTGCTATTTTCTATATGGTGAATGGCACATAGTGCACCATATAGGGGATAAATTATTCAGAGAGTCTAAATATGTTTTCTGTTGAGGTGAATGAATGGTTTCGCACGCACAGTCTGCTCAGCTTTAGCATCACAATCTTATAGAGTAGGCATCTTGCAGGAGCCAACATAAAGCACAAAACATACAGGACACATCTGAATCCTTTACAGAATGCTAATTTAAATATGGAGAAAATTGAAAATGGCAGACAGGCTCAAAATTACTATTAAACTGTGGCTGTCATATGCTGACAAAGTCGGCTTTACAAATGCTTTCAACCAAAAATGAAAATGTTGTCATCATTTTCTCATCTATATTTGCTCCTCATATGTATAAATTCTTACTGTTACTAAACACATAGACGGTATTTGCCAGAATCTGGGTAACCCAGCAGGTGTTGTTCTTGTTGACTGCCATAATATGGAAAAAAAAAAATAATAATAAAATATATGGAAGTCAAAGAGGACAAGATTAAGATAATTAGTAAATGATGATGATGATGATGATGATGAAGATGATGATGATGATGATTATTATTATTATTATTATTATTATTATTATTATTATTATTATTATTATTGGTGAGTGATAAGTTGCATTCACACACTGTTATGAAGATTTTGAGCTCATTCTGATAAGTATTTTTTTTATATTCAGTCATTTCATTATGAAATATTTACCTATGCAGATGGGTTTAAGTTAATCCCTTTGACAGACCATGTTGACCAACAGAAAACTGGTTGTTTTAAAAGTCTGTGTAAATTGTGCTTCATGCATAGCTATGCACACTATTTAAAATGGATGCTAACATTTAGCTTATGTGACCACATTCTTATGACTTGAGATAATTGGGAATTTGGTATTTAGCCTCTTCTCTTAAGGGTGGTGGGTGTATGTACTCAACAGTAAGTAGTTCAGTTTTGTTAAACAGTTCCATCTGCCTGCACAAACAAACTCTCTGATGTCAAGATAATCTGCACAAGTCTCTAACAAGTGTAGTCATCAGTTAAAAAAACACACACACAATACATTTCATTATATTATTCATATGGAAAATTAAGTTTACCATTGCTGACAAACAGTTAAAGGCATGTTTAGGTTGTTATTCAAACCAAATGACGTAAAACACAACAAAATAAGGTTGTTTTTTAGCTTTGCAACAAAAAATCTCAGTAAATACAAGCACATAAAATATTAAGCAAATGCAATTTTCACATATTGCTGTGACTAGCAATCACAGTTCTGCTGAGCTGAAATAAAAGGCTTCTTCTTATTGCCCATTTTGCTGTGAATAATTGATGATGCCCTCCAAACAAATGTACGGGATCTTTAGAAGTTATTGTCAAAGACACGGGTGATAGACTCAGGCTATTTAATAAATCAAACGGTCACTAAATTCTCTTTCTGAAGGAAGAGTACTCATTATCTCCTTTTTCTCTGTGTTTTTTTAGGTTGACATGCTTCGGCCAACAAAAATTACAGGCATTATTACCCAAGGGGCAAAAGACTTTGGACATGTTCAGTTTGTTGGCTCCTATAAGGTGGCTTACAGCAATAATGGTGAAAGATGGCTTATATATCAGGATGAAAAACAGAAGAAAGACAAGGTAGGTTTCTTTCTTTCACACCATTGCATGTCAAAATGCATATTATTACAAAACCAAAAGAACTTTTCTCTTTTGACCAAAGGGGCTTTTATCTCAAGGTTGATCTGAATCACCTTGATTTAAATCAGTTTTAGTACATTCCTTATGAGGTTGCTTTTTGTTTTTTTTTTCTTGCGAAACCTAAACAGCAATCTAGATTGTCATTGTTGTCATAAACCTGACTTCCAATGGACATGTTTACATCCCAAAGTCAATGAAAGAAGCACCTCCTTGTCTAGAAAATGGGCTCTATATATTCTTCTCAATCCTCTCCCAGAGCAACTGGACAGACTCTCTCTCTCTCTCTCTCTCCATGGCCTGCCTATGCCCAGATAACAGACCAATCTGTCGGCCGCAGTGAAGAGCGTGCCAGAAATGTTTGTTTACAACCCTCTAGAGGATTACAAGCTTCCAGTCCATTGGCCTGAGCTTGTCTTTTGAGGCCTAAGCTTGTCTTTTGAGGCTTTTGACACTGTTCTTAAACTAGCAATACACATATTGATTTGTGTATGAACATTATGAGGACATTGTTGAGTAAACATTCATCAAGAAGTCTTGGTTATTAAAGGTACCGAATGGATATTGATAGCAATTGACTTTGACCTATTTGTTTTTCCTACTATGTATGATTACCAGTGTTGCGGAAAATTTAGAAAGGAATGCATCACAATATTGAGTTAGTCCCCCCAAAAACTGTTTGTGTTACTTAGTTACTTTTTTAATGTTAAGTAATGCGTTATGTTAGTTTTCCTTACCTGGCTGAGGTTTGTTCTCTTTCAGAACTTGCAGGGGTTGCAAGTTCTGTTTCACCATCAAGTTTCACCCTTTTTATAGAGAAGCTCTCTGCATTAAGCAACCACCTATATAACCTACACCTTCATTTTCCCTTTTAAAAAAATAGAATAATATTATATTTTGAGAACTTTTTTTTTTAGCTCAGAGCTATACATGCTGTTTACAGATTAATAAAAGCATGTTAAGTAATGTGTTTAATGCTTTTGTACGTTTTATGTTATCAGTTAAGTAAATTCCCTGTTCATTGAGATAAGACCACAATGAAGCCTTAGAGTAGCTGCTATCATGAAATCATTTATATTAAGACAAAAACAGATTTAAAACCTTTAAAATGCTTAATAACAAAATGAAGAGTAAGACGATAAACAACACACTCAAATTAAAATAAATCTTTGAGCTTTTACTTTGAACAAATTGCTTCAAATGGCCTTAACAAATGTGTAAATCATTTCCCAAAAGAGAAATAATCTTACTATATTACAAAACATAATCGCTTCTACAGTAGACAGTGGCTGCAACTCTTTTTTTTCTGTTTGTTTACTTTAGTGGAATTAATTGTGAACTGGCATCAATCATTTGTTGTTTAGCTGGAGGTGCAGGTGTAATGCCTTGCATTCAGTTTTTTTTTTTTTTTTTTCAATAATTTTTGCATTTTTCAAGATTTTTACTTACTCATAATCTACACTTAACAGCAATCCACTTCTTTTCTTTGATCAGTTCAAAACAACAAGAATCCATTGCAAAAATGTAAGTCTCCGGCCTGCCATTGTTTCTGTTTCTGACTGTAGTCTGTTGTGATGACGGGCGATTCGCGAATGAATCGTTTGTTTTAACCGGATCTTCTAAGTGATTAAATTGACTGTAGTTGTTGTGAAATGATTTGCGTCTTCAGTACTAACATACCAGATACCCCCTCTGACTTGAAATGAACCAATATCCAAAATTATTCAGTTAGTAAAACAGAACACTGACTCATCTGCTGTGAAAAAAAGAGACCTGATGATGATGATGAGTGCGAGCCGAATGTCTGTTCCCTTGCAGCACGCTCTTTCAGTAAGTGTGTGATTCAACCTGACTAAGGTCATTTTTATTCTCCAATATGTTTTGTAAAAGCCAATTAAGCAAGGTAAAAGTAACTCAAATGTTATGACTTATTTTTAAAAGTAATATGTTACCTTGGAAAAGTAAAAATATTTTGTAGCCTGCATTATTTATAACGCGTTACCCCCAACAATGATGATTAGCAATTTTAAACATTCTTCAAAATATATACTTTTGTGTTAAACAATTAAAAATAAACTCTTAGATGTTTGAAACAACTGGTGGGTAAGTAAATAGTGAGTATCTTTCTTCTTCTTCTTCTTTGAGGTGGTGGTGGTATCCATTTATTTATTTAATAGGGTGGGCGGGCTATACCTTTAAAAGGAAAACTACAAGACAATTGAAATAGAGCAGTGTGGCATTGGAAAGAGGTATCTATATAAGTATCTGTTTGTGACCTTAATAGTGGCGACTTTTGTCATACATCCTTGATTTGAGTTTATTTTGCATACTGGGATAATCTTTGCATTTGGCTACCTTTAAAAAGATGCATCACGGTGGGAAAAGGAAGGCTGCTGAGAATTAGCTGGCACAGGGTCAGCACCTTGGCAAGTCAAGCACAGCGTGGATCTTCAGATAATAATGTGAAAAGTCAGAGATAGCCTCTTACGATTGTAATGAGATTGTTAAATCCTGATCTGCACCCCAGTGTTTCTCACTCCTTTTTCTTAATGTCGTTCCCCCCTCAGTTTTTCCTAGTTTCTAGCCTTTAAAGCTTCATTTCACATAGCCTGTATTTAATCATACTTGGTAGCATACATGATAGAATCATTTATGGGTGGGCTGGAGAAATCGAAACTGAATCTCAATTTAAAATTACATTTAATGTTGGAGTCAGTGGTTAACTGGGATGTGGATGAAACAAGTTTGAATTAGATCTGACCAGATCCCTATTTTCTTTTATTAGTTTCTTCTTGCTCTGTATTCAACATTCATCCATTACAATGTGTCAGAAAACCCCAAATAAAAATACTATAAATAAATTATACTGTTCCTGAGAAGTTTTGTTTTTAACATGTTTTTTACAACTATTTTATTTAGTTTTTTAGGGCAACTGTACATGTAGCAGAAAAGGAACCTCCACATCAAAAGCTACTGATTCAATATACTTTAAATGTTTCTTAATATAACATTTATTGTGTTCAATTGTAGGGGGGTGAACTGTTGTTCTGAAATTTTCTTCTAATCTAATTTCAGTTAGTCATTTTATATAATTTTTTGAGAGGCATTAGAAGAACAAATGCTGTTAGTTTTCATCCAGTGTACTTTGCAATAAACCCTGGTCTGTTGAGTCAGACTGCTTTGTCACCACAAGCAAATGCGTTTGTAAGTGGGCTGAGACCACCATTTTCTATTAATCGCAGAACGATTGTTTTAGTGTAGATCTGAGTGATTGTTGCGTTCAAACACGCTTAGATAAAAAATAAAAAAAACTGACTGGATTTCAAAATGACAAAGTTGGAAAAAGCACCCTACATTTCAACGATGTGAATTGGAAACCATCGCAACACTAATATGCTACTACAGCCTCTCTTTGTTTACATTTGTGCTCTTGCTAACTATTCTAACTCAAACATTCCATTTAAAGTAAATCTGATATGTTTGCAGCCCAGTATACAGCTCATCTTCTGATACTTATTTGTATGTACTTTTATTTGTTCTGTATTATCCTGATAAAATGTATAAAAACCATAAGTATTGTTGGCAACATGCTTACTATAGGCAAAAATCTAAAAGCCATGGGGGCACCATGGTGATGCTAATTTCTGGGTTGGTCTGCACAATTATGCAATCCCTGCAACCTTCTGTTAGAGCCAGCATGGTGGAGAGAGAGAAACTGATGGCAAAGTTTGTGAATAAATGTAGCTGTTTTCCTGTGATTTGCTTGCACTGCACCTGGCGAAAAGAAAAACAAATTGACAAGCTGCCATTGTCCACAAGAGAGTGCCGTCAATGCATTAACAACTAGTTGTTCAGCTTGCTTCTGTAAACACTACGTGGATTTAATGACAATTGATCCATCACTTCCCAATATAACCTTCTTGGTGCATACAGAATGATGTTAAGCGCTTAAACATGTGTGACAAACACAGTTGTATGTGGCCTGTGATCACTTGTAGCTTGTTCCTCAGATCTTTGGCTAAAACCCAAACCTATTTGAGTTTGTCTAGCCTCAAGAGACTCACCGCATTTTGCTAACTCGCTACCACACAACTCAACTTCCACACAAACAACGTCCTAAGAACATATTTTACCTGTTTTCTGTCAGAAATCCTCAGTCCCACTGAAGCTTTTGGCTGGGAGGACGCCATGACTGGCACATTAATACACGCCCATCATTGATTAGCCTAGAGTCAACGTCAAGGGGTTAATTAGCCTGTGAATAGAAGTATTCCCTGACCGGCAGTGGGGTCAATAGCACATTAGGTGGCAGTAAATAAGATCATGTCCCAAGATTAGCTGCCAGTGGTTCCCCTTCCCCCATCCAAGTATGTGTGCACATTCCCTTGGTGACCACTCAAAGAGGACATGGAGCTCTGCTGTTCATGTTAGTTTTAAATGTGTTGTATATTATACTTCCAAGCCTGAAGATGACATTTTGATTAGCAAGAACGCATGGGCTTGGTGGATTTATATCAGCATTTGACTGAGATATGATTGAATTCCTATAATCAGTATGACGAGCAGAACGTAATACATCAAAACAGATGGATTATTCACCTATTGTATAATCTGTATCGGTGTCAAATCTTGATGTACAACCAAGAAAGGTGCAAGTTCCCTTGCATCTTTTCCTAGTAGGTGCCCTTGGTTTCCTCATTGCAGAAATCAATACTGTGGAAACATTGCCCAATGGGTTAAATAGGAAGCACAGACCAGAACAGATTGAAGGGGAAAAGTAAAACTCTATTTCCAGCCACTGAGCAGGAAGTTTAAAGTGACACTTTGTGACCCACAAAGGGCACAGTGGATATTATTAAAGAGAGCACCTTTTAAATTTTAGAGGTGTCCAACTGAAATGTCTGCAAGGGATAGTTCACCCTAAATTTATGACATCGATAACT